CCTACGGGCACTGCACTAGTAAAGCTAATGCAAGTTTTACCACAGGCTGTTACTCTCTACACAACCATCAGGAAATCAGTCTAGACTTTAAAGAAGTTTTATAAATAACTACTTATATGTGGTTTTCTGCCTAAGTCATACAGTAAAAATGATGGAAAAGTCTGCAGGGAAGATTCAGTCTGTAGGATTACAACTCTGGATGTTGTTCTGAACTGAAAAATCTAAATTTGCAAACAGTGTTTGGTGTGTCTCCCCACAGATCTGGAACATCAAACAGATGATAAAGTTGACACAAGAACACATAGAGGCTCTTCTGGACAAGTTTGGAGGAGAACACAATCCTCCTTCCATATATCTAGAGGTAAGACGGGTTTGGCTTTAACAAATGTGCTGGAGAAAACGAAATCTTGTGAATGCCACTTCAGATGTTGAGTCTGTGGTGTGTCTTTGTCTCTGTCAGGCATATGAGGAGTACACCAGTAAACTGGACGCCCTGCAGCAGAGGGAGCAGCAGCTGCTGGAGGCCATGGGCAACGGCACGGACTTCTCGTGCTCTCCTTCCCCCATGCCAGCCCTTCTGGAGGTCAAGATGGGAGGTTGCAGGGATGGAGGGGGCGCTCAGGCCTTTCCCTCAGCACCCAACACCTTGGCTGTGCTGCAGACCCCCATCGACGCCAGCCGAGCCAACCCTCGCTCCCCTCAGAAGCCCATTGTCAGGGTCTTCCTGCCCAACAAACAGAGAACAGTGGTAGGTCTGACGTTCTTGGACATGATTTCAAGGTTAGAAAGTAGGCACACCACAGGACATTAATCATGTTTGGATGGGTTTATTTTAATTATAAAGATCTGAAGTCAAGATGTCACATCTGGGCTGTTTTCTGCTAGCTTCTGTAACTCAGTGCAAACTCTCATTCAGCATTTCTTTCATCAGTCTTTCTGAAAAAATTAAGCTTGTTTCTAAGGGTTACTTTCTATATTCTAAGACAAATCAGCATCCACTACAGCAGCTGCTAAAAGGAACTGAGACCATGGTGAAGCACAGAAGAAAACAGGGATGTGACGATATCCAGTATTATTGCCTATGCCTCCTTTAGTGACCTAGTGATATAGTACGTGTAATAAATGTAGTTTATTTGCAGTGTTGAAGACGAGGCTCAGTGAACTGGAATCGCGGCACTGCACCTCTGAAAAATCGTTAGATGCCATAGTTAGCCAGCCCCCCCGTAGTCGGTGTGGGAATACAATATTCATAGGTATGTTTTCATCAGTAATCACCTGAGTATAGGAAACGTACATGTACCGTGATACATTGTGCACGAGCTTCTGACACCCATGACCACTGGGCAAGCTAAGTTAGCTGCTGGGTGCTAATCAGCAACATTGCCAAGCAAATTAATTCCTGCAGTTTGACCATTTCTTTTTCACACGTAGCTATATTGTTACCTTCAGGCTCTGAGCTGAAACAGCCTGTAGTTGTTCCTCGCCACCAACTACATCGCTCTAATAAAATTAATGAAATAAAAATGTCAAATAAAAATTCTGGTGCTGAAAGAAGAACAGATTTTGCAGCAAGTTTTCAATCAGTATAGCACACACAGAAATGTATTGCTTCATTTGACTATATTTACCATCAACACTTATAGGACGTCCACATTAGGCTGTAGAAAAATATTTGTAGAAGTAACTTTAAAGATCTCCACAGTGGCAAAGTCCAGATAAAAGCCCCTTAAAACTTTGCAGTTGGAAGTTTCATCATCCAAACTTAGCGCGATTGTGTCAGATTATTTCCTCTCAGATGTCAGCCTGCTCCATGTTGTTGTGCTGTGTTCAGGTCCCGGCCCGCTGTGGGATGACTGTGAGAGACTCGCTGAAGAAAGCTCTGATGATGCGAGGCCTCATTCCAGAGTGCTGTGCAGTCTACAGGATACAGGACGGGTAAGTCTGCCACTACCATATAGAGCTGCAGCTATTAGAGCTGCAACAATTCATTTATTAGTTGTCAGCTATTAAACTACTGTTAAACTACTTTTTTTATCAATAATTGTTTCTCTGATTTCAGCTACTAAAATGTGAGTCTTTTCGGCTTTCTTTAATCCTCTATGACAGTACACTTAATATCTTTGTGGACAAAACAAGATATTTAAGGGAGTCATCTTTGGCTTTGGGAAACAGTGATCAACATTTTTCACAATTTTCTGACATTGTATGGAGCAAACAAATGATCGATTAATCGAGAACATGATCAATGATGAACATGATGGCCTAAAAAGATGGCGATGCACTAATGGCTTATAGCCGATAAATTAATTTAATCAAGCCCATCCTTAAATTGTACTGTACTGCATAGAGCGTTGCACTATAGAGGTGACTAACTAATAATCCATAAACTGATACATTACATGTTTTCTTGCAGTAGGTTGTCCACACACTGGTGTCAAGTATCAATTTATTGAACTGTATTTGAAATGACATTTTATAGTGGTATAAAATTTTGAGTTTTATCTGAACTGGGAAATGGGCACTACAGCTGACCTCAGTCCATTGACAAAACCAGTAATTTAGTCATTTGATCTAGCAGATAATTCCAAAACACACTTCAAACTGGACAAACCACCAAAACCGTCTTTGGTAGTCTTTCCGCAAGGTTTCTAACGATTACCAACTCTTGTTTGGTCTAAATAAATACTTAATTTACAGAGTTAGATGAGAAAATAGTTGCGAAATGGACTTCTATTGCGGCCACCACATGTTCAAAATCGAACTAGTTACTAAAACTGCAAATGTACTGAGACCGAATCCTACATGTCCTACATGTCCTGCATGAAAGACATGGTAGCTTTAGGATGTGCTGGTTTTCTGCTGGAAACCATCATGGTTGTGTTTGCACAACTTTCGTTGTGTTGGTTAAGCCAACAACACTGTGAGGTGCAGTCACTTCCCCTAACTCTTCCACTTTCTGTTTCAGAGAGAAAAAGCCCATTGGCTGGGACACAGACATCTCCTGGCTGACAGGAGAGGAGTTACATGTAGAAGTGTTGGAGAATGTGCCGCTCACCACACACAACTTTGTAAGTGCTAGTAGGCAAAACCTTCCAGCATGACTCCAGTGACAGACAGTACACATTGTGTTGTTCAGCCTCACTTTGTCCTGATTGTGTGTTTGATTGACAGGTGAGGAAGACCTTCTTCACACTGGCCTTCTGTGACTTCTGCAGAAAGCTGCTGTTCCAGGGTTTCCGCTGTCAAACCTGTGGCTACAAGTTCCACCAGCGCTGCAGCACCGAGGTTCCCCTTATGTGTGTCAACTATGACCAACTAGAGTAAGTCGCACACAAGGGAGGGGCCATGGCGCTGTAACCAGTGTGAGGCTGAACCTGCTGTACTGTACAATATAGTAAGGTTGTGGTACACGATTCCCCTGTGTGATCTTGGATTTTGGATATTATAGCAGTGCATGAAGTGGGCCATTAGTTATTTATTACTCAGTCCCACCTCTTTTTAAAATATCAAGGAAATAATTTTTTTAACAAAAAAAAAATTGGCATTTCCTTATAGAATAACATAAAATAAAAAATAGTCCCAAATGCGTCTATCCAGCTCTGTCCTTCTTCTCCTGGGGAGACTGGACCACATCTATACACATAAGGGCTGTCCCAAATACAATTTTAGGCTATGAAGCTTCTGTGAGAATGACCTGCGAATATTCAAAGCTTCAGTGATGATTAACTAGTTAAATCAGCTTACTTTTTTCACCATACACACACACACACCCACACCCCAACACCCTGCCCTAGCTCTTGACCCTCTAACCCGAACCCTTAGTTAGTTGTTCTGTCTGTACTACTATCTTGCTATTGAGTCTTTGGTGTTACACTCCCTCAAAACATTTTCTTGCCAAGTGTACAGACGTTAACTGCCAAATAAATGTTGATATCACTCATGAATCTAAAAATGAGTGTCTGTTAAGCAGTGACTATGCCCTTGACCTTAACTCATTTTGTTATAAAGGCTTAACAGGTGCGATGGTGTGCAATAAAATAAGTAATCTTGAGGCTGTGTGTTCTGCAGCTTGTTGCTAGTGTCCAAGTTCTTCGAGCATCACCCGTTCACCCAGGACGAGGTCTCCTCAGAGGGAACCACCCCTGTGTCTGAGGCCTGTCCGTCACTCCCCCCGTCTGACTCCACCGGGTGAGTCTTCCACCTTCACCCTCCTCAGTGGAACAGCTGGGGTTTTTTTTACTGTAAATTAGCAAAGAGAGTATGAGAAGAAACATCTCCTGCAAGTCCTGAAAAGTCTGTTTTAATTAATTTTCACTAGCAAATTTCATCCTTCCAGGTCTATATGCCACACCACTGTGTCCCCGTCCAAGTCCATACCCATCCCGCCCAGTTTCCGGCCCAATGAGGAGGACCACCGCAACCAGTTTGGCCAGCGGGACCGTTCGTCCTCTGCCCCCAATGTCCATATCAATACCATCGAGCCTGTCAATATCGATGTAAGTCTGCGGTCTACTGGACTGACCGATAAACATGTGCCTCTCAACCCTGTACTACGACAGCAGTTAAATTTACTGATAAACGCTGTTCAACCAGAGAGGAGAAGCTAAGCAACAAAGTTATATTCGGCTGATTCTCAAGCCTATAGCTTTCATTCAGAGAATTTGATCGGGAATTTGGATTGTCATGACTTTGCCACCCCAGGATAAAATATATGGCTCTCTATACAGCTCTTCCAGCACTTCAGCTGCTACACTGTCTGTGACAACAGTTCCTGAGAGTGCTGCTAAAGGAAATTGTACAGTACAGTGCAGTATAGTTAATTGTGTTTGTGAAGTGTTTATATTAATAATTTCCCTTCTCCCTTTCTTTCAGGACCTGATTCGAGATCAGGGCTTACCGAGATCTGAGGGAGGTAAGGATCACATCAGGAGACTTCTGGCTCATTCTTTGTTTTTGTTTTTTTTCCCACCATCCCGCGTCTGCGTGCTCTTGGTCTTTTGTGTGTGTGTGTGTGTGTGTGTGTGAGTGTGAGTGTGATGTGTGTGTGTGTGTATGTGGAGTTCAGACCTGAGAAGTCAGTTCTGTATAGTCCTGCACCCTAGCTGAAGATATTTATTCAGATCTGTGCGTCAGGGTTTGTAGAAGAACAGAACTTCCACTTCAGCAGACCTCCTTTTGCTTTTTCAGACTTACTGTGAGCTGCTCAGCCAGGCTAAGGAGAGTAAGGAACACATGTAGTTAATGAATTTTTCATCTTCATTAAGTTAAGTGATAGTTATATAACCAAGAGGTTTTTCAGTAAATCAGAGGCCTGTTGTGGTCTTCATGATATAAAGAGGATTGAGTAGGTTATGTGCACTGGATAGAACTTATTGTAGTTCGGAAACCGGGTATCAGCTGGTACTTTAAGACCTGGGGTTACCTAATGTTGATTTAAATAATCTAGCAACATTTAACACCACCAGCAGTTGTCTGCTTTCCAGAACTGTCAGCATCTCAGAGATTTCATTACCTAACAACACTTTACGATGCGCCATGGCGCTACACTAAACACTTTTTACATTTCTGTTTGTGTATGCATTAAACAGACAAAATACACTTCTTAATTAGTGAGGTTTAGAGCTCTTTGGCCAGGCTAGTGATTCACCTGCTTACGTTAGTCACGTTAGTCTGCTAAGCTAGGCTAAACATAGCTCAATACTTCAGACATCACATTAATATCGATCTTCACATCTCACTTTATGGAAAGAAATAAGAATATAACCCAAAATGTTGACACTGAAATTTCTAACATAGGGGTGTAAGAAAATATTTTAAAAATTCGTATCGCGATATTTTATTTTGTTATACTGTATTGATTCTCAAAAACACAATTTTTGTGCTTAAACCCCCAACTACTAGATAGCAGTGACGTAAACTGAGGGCTATGATGTTGTATGTTACAGGGACTGTGATAAATACAAGTACAGATCCCACTGTTGGTTGCATAAAAAAGTGATGTGTTCTTCATACTGTGACAGTTTTCCTAAAATTAGATTTTTTCTCGCAATATATCACAGTGTTTTAAATCGTAACCCCTGTATTGTGATGCGCATATCGCCAGATTCTTGCCACACTTTTGACACTTTTTTTACTCAGATTTATGCATATGGTTATTAATTAGATTTAAAAATAAAATAAAAATTACAGTACATCGCCTTGCTTGCAGTATTAGGATATATTGAATCGTAACCCCTGTATCGTGATACGTATGATATCACCGGATTCCTGCCAATACACTTTTGGCACTTTTTAAAGTCAGATTTATGCATATGGTGGTGTGTTTATTATACTATGACAGTTTTCTTATTATTAGATTTTTTTTTAAAATCAAAATATATCACCTTGCTTATAGTATCACTATATATTAATTCGTAACCCCTGTATCATGATCGTATCGCCAGATTCTTGCCAATACACAGCCCTCATGGACAGTAGTTAGTTAGAGGTGAGAGGGGCAGGGTGAGTAGCAGTGATGGTCTGTCTGTTTCTCTTTGCCCTGCAGCCCCCCCGACCCACCCCGCCCGCTGCTTGAGGAAGCACCGAACACGGACCTCAAGCCCCCTCCTATACTCCTACCCCAATGACATAGTGTTTGATTTTGAGCCCGAGCCTGTTTTCCGAGGTAGTTAGGCCTCTGTGTGTTCCTGTGTCCTTCACCCGCCCCCACCCCACCCCACCCCCACACACCAACCCCAGCCCTGT